CCCGGCGCAGCGCCGCCTCCTCCGCGCTTCCTCCTCCCGCGCTCCTCCCCGCCGCGCCGTGACACCGCCCAGGGGCCGGCCGAGGCCCGCGCGCGGGGCGGGGGCGACACCCACCTGGGAGACCCCCGGACGATCCCACCCGCGGTGGGTCCCGCCCCGCGCCCGGGGCAGGATCGGTGCCCACCGGTCCCCACGGCCTGACGTGCTCCCGCACGGAGTGGGGGGCAGGGCGGGCGCGGACTAGGGGGGAGATGCGGGCGGGCGGCCGCTTGCAGCGGGTGAGCCTTGCCGGGTGGGCTTTGCATCCTCTTTTTTTGTTTGTTTGGTTTTCTTATCCTGGTTTGGCGGCCGCCCCCCACCCCCTTCCCGGAAGCATTCCCACGGCACTCTCAGCCCAGAAGGCCTGGTGTCCATCAGAAAAGTGACTTACATAAAAATGTTACTTCCTCCCAGTAATTGCTTGTGGGCATTTTTTATTTATTTGCCTTGCATCTATTTACTTTCCCAACCAGACACGTTTTGATTCCATCCTCCCCGACTAGCGACCGTTTCCGAGGGGGAGGAGAGGAAACTCGATCTCCGCTGCCCCGGGAGCGCCCGGGCCACCTCTAGCCTGTTGGATTCTCCTCAAAAGCCCGAGGGGGAAGGGAAAGCCCTTGGAAGCCGTGTAATGCGATCTTCCAGCTCGCCCTTCCTTGAGTGGTGACTAACCTGTAAGGATAGAACCCTGGAACCAGGAAAGAACGCAACTCCCTTTCACAAACACAGGAACTCAGATGTTTTTTCTCCCATCTCCTTCCCCTGTGGTTTCCCAAAGGAAATCCCAACCTTGGAATGATTCTGATTTCCTGGTGGGGTAGCCCACATTCATGTCAATGAGATTCTATCCTGGGCTCCTCGCTTCTGCTTACGGCAGGAACAATCCAGGAGAAGTGACCTGGCAGCCTTGAATTCTCCCATCCCAGATGGCCTCCTTCCCTAAACAAGTTCCCAAGTGTGAATAACCTGAGGTAGCTTGGCTCTGTAGTCACAGCCAGATTTGTCCGTAGGCTTCCTGAACTGTGTCACCTTACACAGGTGTTTCATAATCTTTCTCAAATTTATCAAATGAGATATTTGCCTACTGCCTATGTAAAGGACCTGGCACACTGCCTGGCAGTAGGGTGGCCCCTGTATGTAGCTCAGGAGATGGAAGGCAGTGCAGGGCACTGAGGCACTGGGTACAAGATCAGCATATCTAACAGACAAGCCTCCTCCTGTTAGGACCTTGGCAAAGAAGGTAACTCCATTCATCCTTTTGTGTTAACCTCTTCTAGCTTTACAATAAGGAAAGTAGAATTCTAATCAATAGCCTGGCCCCAATTAAATTAGTTTACTCAAAACAGGTACAACAATGTAGACCCAGTTTTTAACCTGTTTCCTTTCAATCGTGGCTTTGGCCCTCCTTCCCTCACTGAGTCTTTGTGAAGTGTCCAGTGACATTTTATATCTAAACTCAAAGGCTCTTTCTCAAACTCTGTCCCACCCAGTTTTCCAGCATGTGGCATTTCTGCTATGGCCTAAAACTCTTACCAGCTTTTCGTTTGTGTAAGATGTTTCATTTTCTTGCTCTTCGGCCTGCCTCGCTCTGTCTCCTTATAGGGAGTAAGTTGTCTTTTTGGCCTCTCACTTAAGTATTCCCAAAGATGTGGCCTTTTGCTTTCATTGTGAGATGCACCTTTTCTGGCACATGAATATGTGGGGGATGTACATATATGTATGAGTGTGTGGAAGCCAAACTTTGGTATCTGGTGTCTTCCCTGATAACTCTCCACATTCCATATCGAAGTATGGTCTCTCACTTGAATCCTCCCAGAGCTCCCTAATTAGGCTAGTGTAGCCTAACCAGTTTGCTCAGGGAAATCCCCTGCTTCAACCTCCTGAGAGCTGTATTGTCACCCGGCATTTATGTGTGTGCCAGGATCAGAACTCAGCTCCTCACATTTCAATGGAAAGCACTTTATCCACTGAGCTATCTCCCTAGCCCCTGTGATATGAAAGAGTTGGTCATCTTTTGTATACCCAGTGTCCCAGTTAAGCTATGGACTTAAGGAACTTCCCGTTTATCTGCACTCTCTATGTAGACGGCTCGGCTCTTCTAGATCACCTGATCTCCTTCCCAAGCCAGAATCTACCTCAACTCCCAGGAGAAAACACATACCATCTTGACCTATTCTTGCCCCTTCTCCAAGTCGCTGACCATCCTTGGAAAAGACCAGAGGGTGCAACAGAACCCGGAGACCACATTCAATCAAAACCTCATGATTCTATTCGTTTGCATTCTTAAACATTTAACTGTGCCTCCCTTTCCATTTCCAGTGCCGTCACCCTAACACGTTATGCCTCGGCAATACTTAGGATGGAACTCTACTGACTTCAAAAAATGAACCAGTGAACCAGTGAACGAGCTGAGACAGAATTCCTCTACAATTTCCGTCCTTCCCCTGTACCCACTGCCTTCCAGTTGGTCACATGTGTCTCCCCTCATGTTCATGGCAGGGGTCAGTGTCATCTTAAGCTTCCTAAAAAGTTGCTTTGTCCTGCCCTCTCTTCTTGCTCAAGAACGTCTAATGGCTCCCCATTGCCCACCACAGTCTCATCAAGAGTCTTTTTGCCTTTATAAGTCAGAAGACTGGAGCATTTGCTCCTAGGAAGGCTGAGGAATTAGCCTTAAGAGGCCTGTGTTACCAGTTCTGGGCTGCCTTAAGGACTTAGACTAGATTACTTAAAACACAGTTTATTCTTTCAGAGCTCTGGAAGTCAAGAGTCAGAAATCAAGATACCAGTGTCTCTCCAAAGGCCCCAGAGAAACCCTTTCTGTCCCTGTTTGCTCTCTGTTGTTCTGATAAACATCACTACCAAAAGCAAGTTGGAGCTCAAAGAGTTTATTTGGCATACAGTCCATCACTGAGGGAAGCCAAGGCAGGAACTCAAGACAGAAACCTGGAAGCAGGATCTGAGGCAGAAGACTATGGAGGAATGTTGTTTACTGGCTTGCTCCCTTGGCTTATTAATCTACCTTTCTTATACAGCCCAGGCTTACCTGCCAGGGATGGCACCTCCCACAGTGAGTTGGGCCCTCCTACATCAATGATCATGAATACCTCACAGGCCAGTCTTGTGGAAGAAGTTCCTCAATTGATGTTTCTTCTTCCCAGATGAGTCTAGTTTGTGAAGTTGACAAAAACTGGCCAGCACACCTTCTTTGCCTCTTCCAGATGCTGGTGACTCCAGATGTCGTTTGGTCTGTGTCAGCATCACTCCAGTGCCTGCCTCCTTGCTAGTATGCCCAATCTCCAATCCTGGAGAGACTTCTCCCCTCTCTCTTTCTATAAGATGCGTGCTTAGATTGAAGACGGTGGTGGTTTGAATGAAAATGTCCTCCATAGGCTCCAAGTGTTTGGACATTTTGTCCCCAGATGATGGCGCTGTTTGGGGAGGTTTTAGAAGGTGTGGCTATCCTGGAGGAAGCACATCACTGGGGGTGGGCTTAGAGAGTTCTTAAGCCTTGCTGGATCTCCAGTCACTCTCTTGCTTCCTGTGCCTGCATGATGATATGAGAGCTTAGCTTCTGCTGCTCCTGCTCCAGCCACCTCCAGCTACCATGCCTCCCTGCCATGATGGATTGTAATTCCCCTGGAATCGTAAACTCAAATAAACTCTTCTTTCTATAAGTTTCTCCTGTCAGTGTTTCTATCACAGCAACAGAAAGGTGACTAATACAGAGATTGGTACCAGAGAGTCAGCTGTTGGCTGTGAAGAACCCGACCATGTCAGGTTTTGGAGGCGTGTGGAAGACTTTGGAAGTCTGGCTAGAAAAGTGGTTGACTGCTGTAAGCAGCGCTTAACAGGCCATTCTAGTAAACACCTGGAAGAAAGCAGTGCTAAGAACGAAAGAGGGAAATAGGGACTTAAGCAGCACTTGGGATATTTTGGCAAAGAGTCTGGCTGGAGTCTGCCCTCGAACAAAAAGCTTGCCTGAGGCTAAATTAAAAAGTAATGGACTAATTTCTTTGGCAGAGGAAATTTCAAGACAGCCTAATGTAGAAACGGTGGCATGGCTATTAATGGTGAATATTATGCAGATCTACAGTGAAAGAGAGCAAATGGGGCAGAAAGAAATACAGTTTGGATTGAAAAAGACCACTAGGAAGATAAATGTTGGAGCCCTGAAATGTGAAGGAGAGGATCCCATTGATAAGGAGATTAAAGTGATTAAGGAGATTAAAGTGATTAAGGAGAGGCCTAGAGATACAACTTAAACAATGGAGAGAGCACCTCTAGTGCAAGACCACACCCAGTTAAGCCTCCAAC